ACATACCATTATACTGGCAACAAAATATAGCTGGTGCAAGTTTATGCATTATGAATTATGGAACTATTGTAACTCCAAAAAATCTAAGATCTCTTCAGAAAATTTCAAGAATAACATGAGTCAGGGAATGATTTCAGCAAAGCAGAATCCCAGCAATTCGGGTCTCATCCTTTGCTCTACAACCATACATTTAGTAGAGTCCTTTAGATTGCAATCCATCTAGGGTCCTGCCTAGCTTTTGCTTTGTGATCATGTTGATATGTGCAATCCAGACAGAGAATTTTTTTTTTTTTTTTTATTTACTGTTATGATTCAGGATGCCTGAGCATCCTGCTACAGCCCAGGAAGAATTAATGAGCTTTGCAACATGGCTACACATATTAACAATCATGTGAACCTTGCTGAAGGGCAGATGGTGAGAGAGAACAAGCTGTGTGGCCTGACGTAGCTTGCTGAATGTCAGCCCTGCACACAAAGGGGAGATATTTTGTTAGGTCAGATTTACAAAACGGATAGTTCTGCTACTACAAGGGCTTTCCTGGTGATGAACTGAGCAGAGGGTGTAACAGGTTTCCATATGACAGACGACAGGGGAAGCAGTCACTTCCTAATTATTTCAGGGCAGAGTTGAATCAGTTTGTTACCTGGAGATTTATGAAGCCTCTTCCTGGGGAGGAGAAAAAAAATTAACACCCAAGCTGATGTCTTGCCTCACCGTTTCGTTTGTCACAATGCTTTGGTAGCAATACAGTAAGATAAACAGTGCAGCCACACACAAAACTAAGCTGCAGCAGCACTTATTTGACAACTGGCTTCCTAGCAATAGGATTCAAACAAGAAAAGTTCTGCAAAGAATTCCTATATAAAATCATAGACAGCGAGGGTTGGAAGGGACCTCCGGAGGTCACATCTAGTCCAACCCGCTGCTCAAAGCAGGACCAGCCCCAACTAGGTCATTCCAGCCAGGGCTTTGTCCAGCCAGGCCTTAAAAACCTCCAAGGATGGAGAGTCCACCACCTCCACTGCATTCCATTGTTTCTACTGCAAACACACACCACCTCTTTTAAGTAACCTCTCTAGGTAGTTTAATACTAAGCCATGTACTGAGGAACCAACAAGGGCTCTGGCTACAAGTCATGGGCATGTGCATTAGAGAGAACTGAGGAAGGTAAGTACCTGAGTGCACTGGTCAGCTGTAAGAAGCCCATGAGCTGTCAATGTGATACAGCTATAAAAGAGACTAATAAAATTTTAGGATGTATGGGGGGGGGGGCATACTCAGTAGAGACATGCTCTTAATATTTGCCTGAAGTTCTGGGCACACATGTTCAAAGGATACATTTAAACTGGAAGAGGTACAAAGAAGGGTCCCTACATTGGCCAAGGTCATGGAGACCTTGTCTTACGAAAGAAAGGGAGCCTGGCTTTCCACCTTCCTGTGACACATTCAGCTCGAGCTGAGGGTTTTGGCTGGGCACACTCATGCTCCCATTCATGCTTAGAAAGCTCAGAAGTCATACAGATCACCAAAATTTGGTATCAAGAAAGAATTTCCCTTAGGCCAGATCAGAATGAAGCATGGTGGATATCAGTTTTCCTCTGTGGCATGGGGCACAGTCCTTTTCCTAGGATTGTCTAAGCCAGTGAGGGGCCAAACTTTTTGGCAGATGTGCCACAAATTAGCCCTGCACTCTCCCCAAGTGCCACTCCAATCCCCTTCCCCTGCCTGCTCTGCTGCTCTGCTTTCTCTTCCCAGCCATGTACTCCTTGGCTGCTTTGCTCTCTGCTTCCTTTCCTGTACTCCCTGCCCAATTTGCTGCTTTGTTTTCTGCTTCCTGCTTTATATGCCACTGTGCTGCCTGTCCCCTTCCTGATCCACCATGTGCCCCACACAGGCTACCCATGCTACCTTTGGCACCCGTAGGTTGGCCATCCCTAGTCTAAGCAGGTATTAACCAATTACTTCTATTGTTGTGGGGCTAGGGCACTGACAGTAGCATCCTCTCCCCCTGCATTTACCTATGGCATGCTGGCATGATGTTTCTGTAATTACAGGCCTTGTAGTTATGGGCTAGGGCTTGTGGCAATTTTATGGAATCCTTGAATAGATGGTTAAGAATAGATGCAGTGGACTGCACCAGTGCCCATGAGTCAGTCCCCTTCCACTATGTTCATCACAAGTGCTCGAACAGTTTATCAATTGGGAGGGTGATGAAGCTCTGAAACAGGTTACCTAGAGAGGTTGTGGAAACTCCATCCTTGGAGGTTAAGACCTGGCCAGACAAAGCCTTGGCTGGAATAATATAGGTGGGGCTGGTCCTGCTTTGAGCAGGGAGTTGGACTAGATGTGACCTCCTGACGTCCCTTTTAACCCTCATTTTCTATGATTCTAATTGCAAGCTAAATGCAGAGGGCATGCAGACAGGCTCGCTGACCAGGACTGCAGCATTTGCTGAAACCTTTAGAAGTAGGAGTAAGAGCTAACTCTGAAAAATCCAATTAACGTCCTATCAAAACCCAAACTTCCCATTTGCCTTTCATAACATAACACTTGATACTACTCAGGGAATGCTTAGCTATCCCCAGAGGGATGCTGGCAATGCTGGGAATTTAAATGTATGCCTCCTTCCCCCTCCCTCATCCCTGTTTCTCTTCCAGTGAAGCACGAATCATTAAATGGTTGAGCTCTTGAGCTCCACTTTCCAAAAGAAAATAAGTTACATTAGCACTTGCTGGAAGGCATCTTGAGTACCACATAAATGTCTCGGAAGGAAGAAAAAAACCCCAAAAAACAATGTGTAGCACTTGAAATGAATATTCAATTGGAGGGAGACACCTGGTAACAGCAATGCTGGGGGGAAAAAAGAAGACAAGCCTCAGCAGAGAGAGGGAGCTGCAATGGAATATGGCAGCATTTTGGGGCTGTAATAAAAAGGCAGTTTAACAAGAGGCGAAGAAATAAGCATTTTTCTATTGGGCTCTTGGTGTGACCACAAAAAGGACTATGTGCTCAGTTCTGAGCCCCTAAATAAAAATATAGGCAAACTGGCAGTGTTCACACATGAGGTGCAGAAGCTCAGGCAGATGGAGATCATTTCACAGCCCTCCTTGTGCAGTCCCTTGAGCTGTGGTTCTCAGCCTTTTTTGTGCCACGACCCATTTGTAAATGCTAGGTCCCGAATCAGTAAATAGTTTAAATAGAAAACAGCCCCCTGGCCGCACCAGTGCCCCTCATTCCCAACCCACTGCCCCCCACCCCCAGTCCTCAGCCCCCAGTGTATGAGGCAAGGGGTGGAGCATGGGGGGGCACATACCTCCCATATTTGTACGCCCACAGTGGGCACGGAGCTGCAGCCTGGCCAGACTGGCATGAGCAAGAGCCACCTCTGCAGCCCTGTGTGCAGGACCCAGCACAGGGGGGCAGAGTGGGGGGGTGAGACTTGTTGCTGCCACCACCGCTGTGACCCCTGCACCAGCTGTGCCACCAACCATGCTAGGCATAACGGTCGGGGGAGCCACGCTGCCCTCATCTTGTCCCTCCTCCAGCCGCTTGCACATTGAGTCGTGGCTCTACCCCACTGCCATGGCCCAGCCACCACTACCACCATCACCAATCCCCTCAGACCACCCCACACCCCCTCTGGGGTACAGCTGCAGCCTGAGGGGAGTGGCATAATGGCTGTGCCATGGTGGCAGGCTAGAGGATGAGCAGCTGGCAGTGGGAGGAGGAGAGGGCAGCGTGGCTCTCTCCCAACCCCACCATCACTTCTCATGTTGCTGGCAATGCGGCTGGTGCAGGAGCCCCAGCAATGCTGGCAGCAACAAATCTCGCTGGCATGCTCTGCCCTCCCATGCTGGGTCCTGCCTGCTGGGCTGCAGAGGTGCACAAATATGAGGGGGCATATGCCCCCACCAGACTACACCAACATGTCACCTGTGCCCTCCTGCCCCCCGATGCATAGTTTATGCCACCCCCCAAGCCCTCCTCCCACTCCCCCTAGCCCCAAGCAGCCCCTTGTAGGCCAGAATTCTACCAGCCTGCAAGGAGAAACCTGCGGTTTCCAGTATTTTACTCCTTTAAAGGAGAATCCATGTTTAAAGTTTGTTCACAACCCTTTCATATATTCTTGTGACCCACTTTTGGGTCACAACCCATGGGTTGAGAAAGGCTGCCTTAGAGCAACTCAGGTATGCAATCCAAAGCAGGTAAAAAAGGATCACAGAGTCATCAACTCAACCACAGTTCATTCCCAGCTGGCCCATCTCTTTAAGGAAACCATACACGAGCCTTTCTGGCCCAAATGTCACCAGCAGGATGTGGATTCTCTTGTGGGGCCCAGGCCTTCAACCTGTGGAAGGTTCATAGATTCATAGATGTTAGGGTCGGAAGGGACCTCAATAGATCATCGAGTCCAACCCCCTGCATAAGCAGGAAAGAGGGCTGGGTCTAGATGACCCCAGCTAGATACTCATCTAACCTCCTCTTGAAGACCCCCAGGGTAGGGGAGAGCACCACCTCCCTTGGGAGCCCGTTCCAGACCCTGGCCACTAACTGTGAAGAAGTTCTTCCTAATGTCCAATCTAAATCTGCTCCCTGCTAGCTTGTGGCCATTATTTCTTGTAACCCCCGGGGGCGCCTTGGTGAATAAATACTCACCAATTCCCTTCTGTGCCCCCATGATGAACTTATAGGCAGCCACAAGGTCGCCTCTCAACCTTCTCTTGCGGAGGCTGAATAGATCCAGTTTCTCTAGTCTCTCCTTGTAGGGCTTGGTCTGTAGGCCCTTAACCATACGAGGGGCCCTTCTCTGAACCCTCTCCAGGTTATCCGCATCCCTCTTGAAGTGCAGCGCCCAAAAGGGACATTGCTTTATTCCCTGAAAAGGCAGGGTTGGGCAAGCACAGGCTGCAGGGCTGTAGGCTTATACATTGTTTAAGATCAACATAACCAACGCTTTGAGCTATTCTTGATTTACGAATGGTTCGATTTACTTACACACCTCGGGTCAAGAAGACTCCTCAAAAACTGGAAAAGCAAGAACTGGTCCTACAAAATGGGGAAAACAAACAAAGATTAATATTTAAACATTATGTTGTAGTTCAGAGGAATTTTTACATGATAGCTTCTGAAGGAACTACAATTAATTCTGATGGGACCAGTTCTCATGGAGAGACTGGTCTGTGCTTCTTCCTGACCACAGATTTTTCACCAGTGTCACTTGTTGAAAGAACATCTCCACCATGTGCTCACTCTCTGGTGTCTAACTGGTGTTGTGACCGCTACAAGTCATCCTGCCTCAAACCCCAGAGCTGCCCCGTCAAGCAAAGAAATGCAAACTTACCAGTAACTGGAGTTCTTTAACATGCATTATCTACACACACATTCTCTCTTCCAGCCATATCTTAGGCTTGTGAGCTTTGATTACAGGCTTTTTGCCTTAGCAGTCCCTGTGGAAACTGCACGTCTGTCTTTCATCCCTGCCCCCAGGGGATAGAGAGGCAGCATGCATTTCCTGCTCCCCCTCAGCTGCAGAGGCCCATATTTTATTGTGACAGAGGACAGAGGGCAGTTCAAATGTTTATTGAGACCAATGCATCTCACAAGAACTCCGGTTACTGGCATATAATTTTATTTTCTCTTTTGTGAAATGGTCCACATCCACATTCGCTCTTGTGGGTGACTCCAAAGTAGTGCCCACATACCTGGCGGTGGGCATCCAAGTCCCCTGGATGAATAGGAACTGTAGGACTACTCAGCCAAGTGCACCATCTACCCTGGAGGCTTCCACAAGGATGTAAAGGCATAAATAGGGCTCCCGGTGGTTGCCCTGCAGATGTCACCTACAGATGTTATTCAGGGAAGTTATGGAAGGGATTTGGGCGCTAGTGGAACAGGGCCACATGACAGGAGATGGATTCACCTGGGTGACCTCATATCCAGTCAGACAACCAAATGTGTTCCAAAATGGGGAATGCTTCCTAAATCCAGCTTATTTGCTGGATCAGCCAAAATGGACAAAGCTTTGGGCAACTCAAACCCAAGATAAAGCACAAAAGAAGTTGCTGAAACCACCTAACAAACAATCTATCAAAAAATAAAACAAACCAACCAACCCAGGACAATTGAATGGTGAAATTATGTATAATTTTGGCAGGTATCACAGCAAAAATGGAGAAAATGAAGAAAGCCACAACAAAAAAAGCTTTTGTATCCCAGCCAGCTGCAGGATAGATAAGAAATGAGAGTCTATACAGTGTTGTTAGAAGGACATGCATATGTCCCCTTCTGTCAATTAAAGCTTCTTGGCAGGTTTCAATGAGTGCATGGCAAGGAACAACCACAACTCCACCCCCTACCTCCTCCCTCCAGCATGTCTCTGCAAGGACTGTGTTAGGAGGAACCAGAGCCAGGGACTTCTTGCTGTGTATTTATGGAAGGAGAACATTAAGAACTGTATTAGTAAGGATCTGGATGGCCTACGTCAAGCCATGTGCTAACCTGCAACAAGAGGAAAAAGAAATTTTCCCAAGGTGCGAATTATTCCAGAGCAACCCACTTTAGGCAACTCACTGGTTCTGGGCATAGCCTGACAGGACGCTGGAATAGAAGGTCCTGTCGTCTGATCTGTTCTGGAGATTCCTATACATATGGCTAACCCAAAAGAGAAACATAATACAATTACAGCACAACACAGTTCAACCCAACACCTTTTGGAGCATCTTTACCTGAAGGTTGTTAATGATCCCCTCAAGCTGATCATTGAAGTGCGTGGTGATCAGGTCTGCAGCTTTGCTAGGGCTCAGCAAAAGCAGCTCCTAGGGACAGAAAAACATACCCCCACCTCCATTAGCTTTAGTTTCACAGGCTATAGGATCATGCATTAATGCTGCAACCACATACACTGTAATATTATTTACACCTCCAAGTGACAGCATGTGAAATTTAGCAATGAACACCACTGGGAGAAGAATGCTTTTGAAGTGACAATTAAAAAAGGTGACAAGTTGATATAGTTTTGGTGCCAGACAGACTCCTCTGAAGGCTGACTGAAGGAGGTACAGAACTGGCAACGGAAGAGTGCAAGAGACCTCACACCTCTGAGGCAAAGGTCTGAATTGAAGGAAGGCTTCTCCTCCTGTACCTCTTCAACCTCCTACATTTGGGCTGAGACTGCAGGGAGAGGACTCAGACCTAAAACCTAATTTCAGAAGGCATTTATTGGCAACTCAATGGTATCTATGTCTGATAACCACAGACCCGAGCTGGACTGAAACTAGTAACCTACAAGTGAACGTCTCGGTAACTGAAGACACCTCAAAATGGAAAAAACAGAAAACTTTTTAGCCAAGATGATGCAACAAATAACAGGGTAGCAGATAAAAGAAAAATGGCCTTTATGAATTAAATCCGTTCATTCTGCTCTAATGCACAACATTTCATTACATGCTAAGAACTGGTCTACATTTCAGTACTGCATCTGCCATAGCTCTGCCACCACAGCCCTTTGGTGTATGGGGGCAGAAAGGAGTTTCTGCTGCTTTGTGGGATGCCACCCAGGTGATATAAAACAATGCTAATAAAAGCTCTCTTCTGTAAGCATAGCTGTGTCCAGCCAAGGTTTTTCTGACAGAGCTTCATCAGCTACTGACAGTGATCTTTTCACACCCTTATGCCAACAACATTTTCTAATGCAGCCCATGCCTAAGTTCCTACCATCATTTATATTCATAAAAGTTATCCACATACAAATATGGCACCCAGGACCCCAAAGTGTGCTAAATAAGGTACGTACATTCATAGTGTTGGCACAGCATATGCACTGTAACGTTCCACTCCTAATGCATAATATAAGGCATATTTTAACCAAACTGGTGTACATTTGGTCAGAAATTTGGCAAAACTTCTTAATCTGTCTGCTTTGTCTTCTGGATAAATCAGTCCAATACAGACCAGAATTTTTAAAAAGTCACCAGAAGTCACATCTCAAGTCTCAAACAGTGTAATTTAAGTTAATTTTCTGTCTTCCTAAATAAAACTAAAAAAAAAAAACCTGAAAAAGGCCATTGTAAACTGAAATTTGATACATGATTCTTATGGAAGATAAATGCTTTACTTAGTTTAAAAGGAAGATTTTATAAACCTACCAGATAACAATTGTGAAAATAATGGACCAAGAGAGAACAGTTTTTCAGCTTCATAATTATAACATCAGTAAATATAGTTTGGAAGAAACTGCTGGCAGGAATTTGGAATGCATTCGGATACATTACCCAGGTAAAAGATAGTACAGGGAGGGTATCATTAGTTTAAATGTCTCCTGCTCTCTTCACTGAAGTAACTGCTCCCAAAAATGGAGGGCATTTTCATCAGTGAGTTCAAGAGGGAGCACACCCCTGAGACAAGGGCAGACTCACAACAGTCCAAATACCTATGAGGTCCCCTAATGGCATCATAACCTTGACAGGTGGAACACCTCAGCTAGGGCCTCCAGGGATATTAATACAATGGGGCGAGAAAAGATAGCGTTGACCCTTCATTGCCAAATGACACACAAGAGATCGGTGCCAAGTGAGCACCAAGAGCAGGGCACGTTGTCACAGCTCTGGAAGTTAATCTAAATGTTCCCCACCCCCATACTTAAAGAATGAAGGCATCAAGTTGGGCTATATACGGTGCAAGAGGGATCCCCCACCCCTAGAGCATATGTGGCAGAACCCTCTTCTCCAGCAAAGAGAACCTATTCTGATATAAGAACCTCACAGGAGGGAGCCCCTCTTCAGGGACATCTCCAACATAAGGTATTGATTCATTGTGCTGGAGCCGTATTTATAATAAGCATTGATTAGTGCACATGTTACTCACAGAAAGGCTTTGCTAGGCACTGACCAGAGTAGGTCTCACTAGAGCTCCTTACACAAGCTTAGACTGGAATATACATATAAGAGACTGGTACAAGATAACAGAGAATGATACAAGATGTGTACTGCTGCCAGGAAGGCAGCTTAAGTCAAATGTCTCAAGCAAGAACGGTGAAATACTTGTATAATGAAGAAAGAACAGGAACACAGATCAGGATGCATGACAGGTACAGGATGATCCAAGATACTAGAGGAATGTAATAGGCAGCTTCTTCAAAACATGTTTTTTCCTAAATGCACAGCTCCTAATCAAGTTGTTTTGCTTAGTAATGTGGGTTGGTCTGTATAGAAGGGGAAGCTGGAAAAATCTGAACCTTGTACTGGCTTGATGGGGCATACAGATTTATGACACACCGCTGCCACGGGCAGACAGTACAAGAACACCCTGATGACCTGGGCATGTTTGTGCTGTGCTTTGTGAGCAATAAACCCAGCAGTTTTCATGAAAATGAGCTTGAGTGTGGTCTTTCTTTCTATAAGAGGTCTTTGCATATGCTCTCTATGCTGTTGAAATGCTGTCTGCAGAGAACCACACAGACCACATGTAGGGAGCATGACAGTGGTATGTCTTTGCGGGCTTGGATGTATAGCACAGTAGATAAGCACTATGGGCCAGACCCTATTCAGCATCTAAGTGTGATCCAACTCCACCCTTCTTGAGTGCATGAAAAGCCATTTACTTATCTACTTTGGTAATCTTAAGGCTAAGATGACTGTGTGTCAACTCACAAAAAGTAGCAAACATATGGACAACTCACCCTTCTTTTGCACTGAGTTTTCCCTGGACTCTAGCAGGGTACAGTAGGATGGTACCACAGTGGCCAAGTCCATTTCTGCACCTAATCAGTGGAGCAGTATTTGGCCCATATGTACCAAAGATATACATACACAGTATAGTAAAATATACAGCAACTGCAAACTCCCCCTTTGCAATGCTACTCCTCTCCTACCAAACAGCTATGCCATTTCAGAAATGGACGTGCTCTCTCCTCCAAAACAGCATGAGGTGCTGAAATTCGGAAATGCCATCAATTCAGCATATTCTGTACCTCCATATGTTCCAGAGCTTTCTGCCACACTGAATGCTTCTCCTCTGCACTGTATCCAGGAATGGACAAAATATTGTGGATGTAGTTGAAAACGTCTTCCTGAAAGGCATAAAAAATTGACAAAAAGGTATCACAGGTTCTTGTCCCAGCAATTGGCAATTAACTTCTCAGAAGAACAGGAGACAGCTTGCAAGCTCTGGTTTATTTGAACACAATCATTTTCAGTCTACCAGTGAACTGTATTTCAAGAACAGGCAACTGGATTTTTATTCCTTTTTCTTAGTTGTTAGACATGAAGATAAGGTCAGACTCCTTGGCTGTTCTTTTTAAACAGCCCGACTAACAACATTAGGAGGAGCATATATCAAAAGCAGCCCTAAGGCTAGCCCTTTTCAGTACCTGAGTCAATGAATACAAGTGAGAACATCACCAGCAACAGTTATCATATGGACCTAGACAGCTTCTAAAGGAAAATTAAGAGTAGCAGCAGAACTGGCAGCAAGAGAGACAGGATGAGATCTGGCAAAAAGATGGGCTTGGACTCCTGCCATTTTTGAAGTTATCATCTCTTTC